ATATATATATATATGATTTGCAGCAGTTTAATAAGGTCTTTGTTTGTAATCAGCTGTGTGTAATTTGCGGATTAAAAAACAACAGATCGTGTTCTCAGCCCTCTTAGAGTTCCTGTGTGCATTTTAACTTGCATTTGTCTTGAATTAATGTTAAGCTGATCTCAACTTTGGGAATCAGGTCTCTCATTTCCGTCTTAATTAGACAATTAGGTTCATGAGGAGAAGCCAGAACTCAGGTCTCCACTAAGTGGAGGATGTGTTAACGTGTGGCACAGAACATCTAATTATAGTGTTGTTGTTGTTTTTTGTTCTCCTAAAGTCTTCCTCTGAGAAAGAAACTGTTTTGGAAAATGAGAGACAGTAATTAACTGAAAGTCTGGCAGATGACTGCGACATGAGACCCATTTGTTGGAAATACTTGCTGTTATGTTGGAGTTGAACAAACGGGGAATCTCGAGGAGCTATTTATAGGTGGTAATGATAAAAAACAATTGTCTGACAGCGCTGTGGAGATTCCTCTTTTTTTGTAACGTGATGGAAGGTTGTAACATGAGATGACTGACCTGAGTTTAATGTGGCATGAAAGTGTGAGGGGATATTTTTAGCCTCACTTTGTGACGTAAAATCACACGAAATAACTCACAATAGGCAGTTTTCTGTTCCATCCATCCATCCATCCATCCATCCATCCATCCATCCATCCATCCATCCATCCATCCATCCATCCATCCATCCATCCATCCATCCCCCTCTCTCAGCATGCACAAGTTGTCCGACCCTCTGCTGTCAAATTCCTCACAACCAGGAGGTTCTGCTGCTTTGCCATGTTGTTTACTTACACCAATAACTGAGTAAGCAGCAGAGCCCACTCATATCGCCAACATATCAACCTCTTTGTTTTCTCTGAGCTATGGCTGCATGGCTCCAGTAGCTTGCAAGTCTACTTGTCCCCTTAGGATAAACAAGAAAAAAAAAATACAAAAACAGGGTGGAGATGCTGTGACATTATACCATTTTGTTCTTTTTTTTTTTTTGCATAAATTGATCTTTATATTCCCCTGATGGCCCACACAAATCAAGACCTTTCTGTTAAGTTTTCATGAAGCTCAGAGCAAATTGCCGCATCCACAAGCAGGAGCTGAATGATGAAAAGACATTTCTTACATCTCTCTTTACTATTCTGGCCATACAGCAGCAAWAAGCAGGTGTCGCCGACTTCATCGCAGTCTTTCCTAAATGAGTCTGATTATCTTTCATCAATAAACAGACTCATTCCAAATCTGTGCATCCAGATGGCGCAGTGAGTGAGAGAGATTGCAGGGAAAGGCAATCAGGAGAAAGTGAGGGTGAATGAGGCCTGGTGTTCATTTGTTTCTTTGCAGTGTTTGCCTGCACAGTCTGGTGTTTGTCAAGAATGATGAATAGCAAAAACTGGTTATTTTCAACATTGAGCTAGACCCTTATTTTTTTTACTTCAGACAAATCTAACAAAACATTTGGAAAGCAAAAAATAAAAAAAGTAATAAATCTAAAAATGCTGAGCAGTTATTGTTTTATGCTGCTGTTTTTCTTTTTGTCTGCTCCTTTCTGCAGAGGTCACCACTGTGAACAAACTTGCATGAAAGATTTGGTACTTGTTTTATGCCGGRTGCCCTTCTGACGCAACCTGCAGCCTCAGGATTACAAGACCATAGCACCGAACTACTGCAATCCCCTGAGTGTTTTCCCTCATATATTATTGCAAAATGGTTAACAGTAAAATAAAAATAAGAAGAAAGGGAAACGATGATGGATACTTTTTCTTAGCTTGAATCAATTCACTTTGTGAGTGTAGATGGATGTGGGACCGACATTTTAACAACCTTCCGAACAAAAATCATTCAACAATATACCAAATGTTAAGTGTTCAACAAGGCTGGTGGGATGTAATATTTTTAGTTGATCAGTGTGGTTATAAGAACAAAACAGCATGCAGAGGTTTGCAAACAAGAGGGAGGCATTTTGTTCCCWTCATAGGGGTGGATCAGCACAAGTTAATTCAGTCATTCTGAGTCACTGTCATTGTTCTACAAATAAATCCTTTTTATCCCCATATCTGCAGAACTGTTGTGAGCAAAACATGCTTCATCATCCATCCATCCATCCATCCATCCATCCATCCATCCATCCATCCATCCATCCATCCATCCAGCCATCCACCAGTTTTCAGTAAAATTTGTCAGGTTACACCCTGGATGGGTCGCTACCCAGACGAGGTTTAACAGGAGACCTTTGCTGTTTGAAAATCAGTTTTAGCAAATGCTTTCATTCACGACTGAAATGTTGAAAATTTTCTCATGAACCAAATAAAAAATTTCATTGCCCACATTTTCATAAATATACCCCCCCACCAAAAAAAAAAATAAAAACAGCCCATCAATCACTGTGATCAACATGCCAACATATTAATATTCAACAATTTGACGTGTCTTTTTTTCAAGTAAAAGAGCTAGATTTAATTCTGAAGATCATATAAACCCTAACTGTAGACTTCAAAAACTTAAGGTTTTAGCTGTGCCATTACCTCATCAGTTCCTCCTTTGTCCCAGGTATRTTTAAAATATTCCCAGAAACTTATTAAGCTATTCAGTATTTAAYTGAGCTGACAATAAAACTCTTAAATCTGGTGTTATTTTATTTAATAACTTTAATGAAAATATAGTTTGTCATTTACTTATTTTATTTTTTATCAAGCTATGTATGATATATTTTATTATTTATATAAAAAAATATGTCCATTCAATAAACTCAATATTTAGCACATTAAGTCACAAACATCGTTTTCCAGCACAACCAAACATAACAGTTGAACAAGAACATCCGAGCATCTCGGCGAGCTGAAATCCCAATAAACCTTTTCTCTACCATTTAAAAAGGTTAAAAAATTAACAATTAAAACAAAATAAAAGGGAAGATATTCCTAATGCAACTTATACCTAGTAACAGAGAAATATGTTAAACACACACATACAAAAAATATATATGTATTTAAATAAATTAAATTTACACACTATAATGCCAGTTCCACATATTATCAATGGGTTCCATCTTTCCATAAGTCAATGGATTGGTTTAGTTGTTATTTTCTCCATAGTATAAACCTCCACAATCCTCTCTCTCCACTGATTTACAGTAGGGGAGTAAAATATTTTTTACTTTTTAAACAAACCAATATGAGCTTCACCARTAAAATAAAACAGTCCCTTACAGGGTTTTAGACCTCTTCCTTAAAACGACAACATGAGCAAGGACTCACACTGATCCCTCTAATAGAGTTTAAAAGACTCACAGGAAATGTTCAGCTGCTGTTAAAATCTCAGAGAATCAACACTCGGTCTTTTATCTACTAAAGCAAGAAACGAGAGACAAGAGAGCGCTGTCTCCCAATTCTGAAGTCATGATAGCAGAAAATGTCTGGACCTGCTTCAGTGACACTGAAGAAATGAGACTGAAATAACTGATAGATACTGAAGTGACATTTTAGATGAAAGCTCAGAAGCCTCTCAGTTTCCCCATTTTCTGCCATTTGAGTTCCTGATGATGCCTCTTGTTGRACCTTTTCTTCCTTTTATTGGGTCGTTATCTGCTCACAGGTTCATGTCTTTGTGTTGATAATCTTYGGCCGTTTTAAAGGTTTGATGCTCTGTAAACCTGCTCAGTGATAATTGGGTCTTGTTCCAAATTGGGCAGCGTCAAAACTGTTGATGAAGCTGTGTGAGAGCTAAATCCAACATCACAAACACACACACACACACACCCACAGGGTCTCAAAGAGCTCAGCTTTTCCAGAGTCAAAGACGAGCATGGATGGTTTTTCGAGCCGAGATTAAATGTCAGAGCCCTCCAATCATCTCTCGTGTTGCCCTCTGGATGGAACGTAATAACATATGCYCTTTCTGTATACACTGGAGTTCCTCAAAATAAGCAGGAAGATGAATATTTCACAATTCTTTTCTGATTTAAACTGGAGTGTGATGTAACAAACAGTCTGTGAAATTGGTTTAAAATTGGTTTCGTTTCCTCACAGACAACTACCGCTTTGATGGTATTACCATGATTATGATCCAGAATGTTGGAAGGCTTGAATGTATTTGTTGGACGTCAGTGAAGGTTCAAAGTCTCATTGAATGGTGCTGCCCTTCCTCCTCCTCCTCCTCCTCCAGCTGGACAGGACAGAAGTGATAAAGAGCAACTTGCATCCACTCTTTGGAAAGGTTTTCTGTCTGGATTACTACTTTGAGGAGGTACAGAAGCTGCGGTTCGAGGTGTACGACATCCATGGCACTCACAGCATCGGGACCCGGGACGATGACTTCCTGGGCGGCATGGAGTGCACACTCGGTCAGGTAGGCAGAGGCCGCTACGTTCCAGGCTTTTCATTTTGTTCTTAACAACACATAAGCTGAAAAAGCTACTGTCTGTTTGTAGAAGAGGCGGTCCAGAGTTAGTGATTGATAACTGCTGCTGCTGCTGGTGACTCAGATCCCTGTTCACTCCTCTTCACTGCAGAGGCCTTAAGGCCAAACGTTGTGCTTATCTTGCTCTCTTTGCAGATCGTGGCCCAGAAGAGWATGATAAAACCTTTGTTGCTGAAGTACGGGAAATATGCCGGCAAATCTACCATCACAGTAAGTTTTTTACTCTGTGGTTGTGACCTTTCTGCTCGGCTAATAAAAACCGTGTGGAATCGCAGAATGAATGGTTGGGAAATTATAGTTTAGGGATGTTTGCATTTGGATTTCAAGTCCTGCGGCAGTTTACACACAGTGTATACGTATGTGCTATATGTTTATATACGTTTCTGTTGCTTTTAATCTCTGAGTTTATTTGGATGAAGATTAAAATGATTTGAAGTTCATGACACTGGAAACAGTCTTGTTAAGAATGTGACTATACACACAGAAGGGCATAAAAATCCATTTAAAAGAAATTATGCATGTGTGAGGAACCACGTCTCAGATGTGGAAGAGAGGTGCTGCTGGTTCATTAACCACCATCTCCACAGTCCTCCACAGAGCTTTAATCCACCTCTATTCTTCCTCTTCTAACACATTTATTCTAAACAACACACTGAAAGGTCTCTCAGAGTCTGACAGTGCTATTATTCGAAAGAGGGGAAAAAGTGTCTCATGCACTTCAGATTTTCTTGTGTTTTTGCCAAACATCTTCATACGTGGTGCCAGCAAAGACTTAAAATCCATTTTTAAACCTGAGCCCTTCCTCATCTATTTTCCTCTTCTTGCTGCACACACGAGCCGGGGTGAGGTTTGTAGGAAAAGTTAAAGATGAGCTCTTTTTATTTCTGATCTTAATCAGTTCCTCTCTGAGCAGATTTTTATTTAAACCAGCATCAACAGCAAAAACCTCCCRAAAAACTTCAAATTAACAATTAACAACACAAGAAAGGGGAATTTTAAAAATCATTAATTGCATATAAGCAATAATGAGACTGCTGGTATGATGTTAATCGTGTGCATCCTTATGAAGCCCTTTATGATACAGTGAGCGAGGGTTACATAATGCACCAGGTAATAAGCAACAGACAATTACTGGGTGTAGATCTCTGCTCAGATGAGATGATTTGGAGGATATAAACAGGATGGATATTTGTTTAGATTGTTAGTTGTGTTGTGTGCTACAATACGAGCTCATTAAAAGATGCCAAAACAGCAGAAACTCTGGCTCACAGTGAAAAAAAAAATGCATCCTGAACCATGACAAATAGATGCTTAATCATTATCATAAATGCAGACAAAACCTCATTTAAAAGGTTGCCATTTTTAAGATCCAAGCCTCAGTCCTCAGACCCCCCCCCCACTCGATAACCACCCACCCACCAACACACACACACACACACACACATGCACGCACGCACGCACACACCTAAAAACTCTCTAACTTCATGTTTTACAAAAATGTTCACCTTCTCTTGTTACTTGTCAAGGTGAGCTGTCTGATAAAACACACAGGTTTTCCACTTTGCAACTCATCACTGTCAGGTTCTGTCTGGGCACATTCAGACTCACTGCACACTTCCTGCAGTTTGATGGGAGATTTTAGTCAGTTTCTCACCGGGGAGAAAACAACAAACCTGTGCTTTTAAAGTGGTGCTGGTGTGTGTGTTTGTGTGTGTGTGGTGGGAGCAACAGAGCGTGCTCACTGCACCTTAAAAACTGTCACCCTAACTTCTTCTTTATAACTAACACACAAGTTTAAGGGATAAAACTGGAAGCATTCATGAATCAGGCCATTAACGAGTTTGGCAGGTGACTTTTTCCTTTTTCTTCTTTTTTATTTTATTTTATTTTCAAAAGTTAAATCCGCAATATGAAACAAAAAGCTGTGGGAGTAGGTTACCTCTAGTTTTTAACTAATGACTTGCCCACATTTTGTGGTTTTTACATCAGTGAATTTGTGGTGAGTTAAATTACATTAGTAACTGGTCACGATGTTGCCAGAATAGAGCTTTTTTTTAACAGCAAAAAGGACAAATGATGTGTTTTCTAAAAAACAGTATTTCTCGTAGACAGGTGCATGAAAGRTAAAATAATTTTAAAAGGCCTTCAAAGTAACATGAGAGTGCTTTTAGTTTAGTTTAACAAGAAAATGCTGACAGGTATTGAATTACATCAACTGCTGTGGTTTCAGATTAAAACTTTTGCGGCACACTTATTCTCATACATTTTGTGGCTGAATCTTGTTACTTTCACAGCAGCCTTCAGGTCAGCCATCATGGACTGCATTTACAAGCTTTCWTCTTAAAAGCTTCAAACATGAATGTCTGTCATTTTACCCATTCACATCCACTCTGACGTTACTGTTAGAAGGCTGCAGTTCAGAGCAGTGATGAACAAAGTGATGAACAAACTGTTGGCTGTCAATGGACAAGGACATCTTGGTAACAGGCTTGACTGTGGTCAATYCCTGAAATGAAATATTAATTTCTAATTATTACTCATTGCTTTAAATGCTTGCAAGTAATGTTCAACTGTCTATCAAATGTTTTAGTTTTAGAATGAGCAATACATTTCTGCATTAGTTTAGAGAATCTTTTACTCTTTGAAAATAAAAAATCACATTATTAAATTACTGGGATTAATAACAGGTTTAGCTATGGTTTTATAGATCACCCAAAATTTTACTGATTGATCTGATTTTCTTCAGGTGCATGCTGAGGAAATTTCAGGTAACAATGGATATGTGGAGCTCTCCTTCTGTGCTAAGAAGCTGGATGATAAGGTGAGAGAAACCAGTTGTTCTTTTAAACAGCTAATGTAAATAAAAGGTAACTGCAGCACTATTCATACTTATGTGAAATTAAAAAAGGTCATCTATAAACATTCCAGTCTAACTCACAAGTGAAATTATAACTCAGCCCATAATGCGAAAAGGAAAAAGTGTTAGTATTTCCACTATGAGGCGAATTGTTACTGACCTCAGCTGCTCCAGCTCTACATGTTCAAACTTTGCCAAGGGCACATTTCAATCAAAAAGACAGCAGGAGCTTACATCCACTTATATTTCTGATGATCTGAAGACACACCGTGTTTTCAAGAGCGAGCCTCAGGAGTCCAGTCTCATGTGTTGACCTTGATTTCTTAAGGTACAGACAGTAAGTWCATTTTGCTTTGAAACTGCAGTTTGCAGCTGACGTTTCTGACAGCAAAGCTAATTACAAGAGGGCCTCAATCCAACCATTTTTCTTTACCCGCTTTTCCATGCAGGGTCATGGGGGTGGGGAGCTGGGGCCTGTCTCCAGCAGTCTCTGAGAGAGGGCGGGGTACACCCTGGAGTCTGGACAGGTCCCAAGTCCATCACAGGGACACTTAAAAACAGACAAATAAATGTAGTTCAGCTATTCCTTACAGTATTAACATACAGGAAGGCAGGAAATGTTCTTTTTTTTTCTGAGTCCCAAGGAAATCTTCTGGGGTTGCTTTGTCTAAACTGATTGCATTTTAAATTTCTGTCCTTCAAATAAAATACTGCATCTTGAGCAGTACTTTCGCATGGTAAAATGAAAGTTTTTATCTTGAAGRTAAAACCAATTTTGACTGGCATGTGAAGGTAATTTCTCCCATGTAACCAAAAATTTCTGTCTCATAAACATAAAATAATAATAATAATGCATAAAATGGGAAAGCTTTAAATCAGCTGGTGACAGTGTTACCTTGATATCATCAAAATAACACTGTTATCTTGATTGCTGATCAGTGCAAACAGGTCAACCATAAACATGAATGTTAACTAGCAAAGAGGTGTTGTTTCTGCCTCATCTGCTGGAGTGAAGTGTGGAGTTTTGTTTTTAAAGCAATATTTGCATTTTTATTCAACGGGAAAGTGAAGACGTAGACAGTAAGGAAGGAAGGAGGAGAATTATGGGACTATTTGACTTTCAGGAACTGCAGAAATATAATTAGCTTTTTGTAAACACTTTTTGCTTGTTTAAATTATTATCTAAAAAAATACAAATGAGAACACGGTTTGACGTATAAAAAGTATCTTAGCACAAATTAAAGTTTCCAAAAGTGACCATGATCAACTGAAAGATGATGTATTTTAAATTTTAAAG